TGTGCAAATTGTTGAAATCTTTACTTAGTATAGAATTGTTCTTTTATGTACAAAGTAAATTGAAAATGAATCTTAATGGAGAATGGGACTGGCAAGGGGAAAGTGAGGAGGAGGAGGGGTGGGAAAGCTGATATGGTGGGAAGAAGAATAACTATATTCCTAAAGTTGTACTTATGAAATTTAAAAATAAAAAAACACTTAACTTTTGATGTTGCATCTATCAAAACTTTCAATATTAAAAAAAATGCATGCTACAGACCACCTGGAAAATGCCCACCTATTTTTAATATTTGGCAGTGTCTCCTTCCATTTTGATTCCTCCCCACAAAGTTTCCCTTTTTTACCTTTGTAGTCATAGTATACAGGCATGTGTTAATTAATTATGGGGACAAGTTCTGAGAAACGTGTTGTTAGCAAACACCCTCAGAGTATGCTTACACAAACCTAGATGGTGTAGCTACAACACTCACCTAGGCTATTTGGTGGACATCTGTATATGCCTAGTGGGCCTGATGAACAAAGCAATATGGTATCAAATCAAACACAGAAGAAAACCGTGCACACCAACGATGCAGTGAACAGAAGATGAGTGAGACTGTTGCCAGAGTAACCCCACATATACTGGTCTACTGTAAACTATATACCAAGGAATATGCTCTAAAATAATGACAAAAATATAAGAAAGACACAAACCAGCATTGCAGCCATTATCATGATCAAGTGTTGGATACTGTCTGTACTTATATTGCTGTACTTTTACACAACTGGCTATGTGGCAGGTTTGTTTGCACCAGCATCACCACAAACACATGAGTACTGAGTTATGCTGCAACTGTATGAGGGCCACAGTGTCTCTACGTGACAAAAACATTGCAGCTTCATTATAATCTTATGGGACCTCAGTCTCATATGTGATCCATCATTGACTGAGATATCATTATGTAGTACATGACTGTATACATGTAAGAATTCTTTTTTCAACTTAATATTTCATCACAAATACTTCCCCCTTTATGTTATTATTCTTAAAAATATATCTAATAACATCCCAGTATTATCTGGAGTAGATCAATCATAGCTGCCTGAACCATCTCCTTATCTCTGGATGTTTGCAACTGTCTCTTTGTTCCACAGCTATTTATCTACCTGCTGCTGTGTGCAAAGGCAAGGCTTAGGGGCCTGGATATGTGAGAATCAAGTAGGTGAATTCTCAAGGGGCTTGCCTTCTAATGGTGAGAGGAGAGAGAGAGAAGGAAATGCCAGGTGACAGGAAGCTATGGGGGAAAAAAACAGGTAAAGTGATTGAGAGGACAGAGCCACAATTTTGTCTTGCAATTAACACAGATGCGGCAGCCATGAGTAGATGGAGCGGTTTTTCAGATTATTGTGTCAAGATTGCTAACCAGAGGAAAAAATCTACATGGAGAAGTATGAATATATTTTTCATATTCTTGATATATACTACGAACTACACTTATCAGTATATATTACCAGTTGCATTGCTGCTTTTGAAGTGGGATCATTGAGTGTTTACACATGTGCTGTTTCATAAGCTCTGCTTATTTGAGTTTCTTACTGATTTATATTGGCATTTAAACAGTGAAAAAAAATGAACTTTTACCATATGTATTTGCTGCAAGTTACCATATTCTTGACTGAATCTTAACTTTGGTGATGTGCCACTCGCTGTTTGCATAACCACCCGTTTTCCAACACTCTTCACTGAATGATTTCCCTCATATTGGTTTATACAGTTTCATTTGCCACATATCAACACTGAAGTGTAGCAGAATTTATTTTATTTCAGGGTTATCTATTTTGCTTATTTGCCTGTCTATTTTTGCATCAATACTCACTGTTTTAATCATTTCTTTATAAGACTCCCTGGAGTAGGTGTTTGCTCTAACAATTAAGATACCAGTTAAGGATCCAGTATTGTGGCATAGCAAATATAGCCACCACCTGTGATGTCAGCAACGCTTCTGTGTTCTGGTTCAAGTCCTGGCTGCTCCACTTCCAATCCAACTCCCTGCTGATATGCCTGGGAAAGCAGCAGAGGATAGCCCAAGTGCTTGGGCCCCTGTTTTCATGTGGGAGATAGAGAAAAATCTCCTGGCTCCTGGCTTCCATCTGGCCTACCCCGGACCATTGTGGCCATCTGGGGAGCAAACCAGTGGGTAGAAGATCTCTCTCTCTCTCCCTCTCTCTTTCTCCCTCACCCTGAACTGTTTTTCAAATAAATAAAATAAATCTTTTTTTCAAAAAGACACCAGTTAAAGCACTCATGGCCCACATTACAGTGCCTATGTTCGAGTGCTGGCTCTGGATCTTGATTCTAGCCCCCTGCCAGTGCAGACCCTCGGAGTAAGCAGTAATGGCTCAAGTAGTTAGGTCCCTGCTACCCAATGGGGGACACTTAGATTGAATTCCTGTCTCAGCCCCAACTGTTGGCAGGAATTTAGAGAGTGAACCAGAGGATGGGAGCTCTCCCTCCCTCCCTCTCTCTCTCTCTCTCTCTCTCTCTCTCTGTGTGTGTGTCTGTCTGTCTGTCTCTCAAATAAATAAATTTTAAAAGTTTTTTAAAAAGATTTATTTATTTATTTTAAAGACAGAGTTACAGAGAAGCAAAGGGCAGAGGCAGAGGCATATATATAGAGAGATCTTCTATCTACTGGTTCACACCCCAAATGGTGGCAATGGCCAGAGTAGCTAGCATGATCTGAAGCCAGGAGCTTCTTCAGAGTCTCCCACGTGGGTGCAGGGGCCCAAGCACTTGGTCCATCTTCTACTGCTTTCACAGGCCATAGCAAAGAGCTGTATCAGAAGTAGAGCAGCTGGGACTCGAACTGGCATCCATATGGGATGCTGGCACAGGAGGTGGTTGCTTTACCTACTACACCACAGAACCGGCCCCCAATCTTAAAAGTTTAATACCTTCTGATATCTGGTAGGATTAATTCTCCCCCATTAGCCTTGCCTTTAACCAGGGGTCTTCAAAAAATTCATGGAAAAGATGGGCATTTGACCCAGCAGTTAAGATGCTGTTTAAAATGCCGCAATCACTATTGGAGTGCTGTGGTTCAAGTTCCAGCTCTGCTCCCAATTCCAGCTTCTGGCTAATGGCACTCTGGGAGGCAACAGGTGATGCTTCTAGCACTGGTCCCTGCCCCCTGCGTCAGATGCTTCTAGGACTGTGGTCCCTGCCCCCTGTGTCTGATGCTTCTAGTACTGTGGTCCCTGCCCCCTGCGTCAGATGCTTCTAGCACTGGTCCCTGCCCCCTGAGTCTGATGCTTCTAGTACTGTGGTCCCTGCCCCCTGCGTCAGATGCTTCTAGCACTGGTCCCTGCCCCCTGAGTCAGATGCTTCTAGTACTGTGGTCCCTGCCCCCTGCGTCAGATGCTTCTAGCACTGGTCCCTGCCCCCTGAGTCAGATGCTTCTAGTACTGTGGTTTCTGCCCCCTGCGTCAGATGCTTCTAGTACTGTGGTCCCTGCCCCCTGCGTCAGATGCTTCTAGTACTGTGGTCCCTTCCCCCTGCGTCAGATGCTTCTAGTACTGTGGTCCCTGCCCCCTGCGTCAGATGCTTCTAGTACTGTGGTCCCTGCCCCCTGCGTCAGATGCTTCTAGTACTGTGGTCCCTGCCCCCTGTGTCTGATGCTTGTAGTACTGTGGTCCCTGCCCTCTGCGTCAGAGACCTGGATTGTATTCTCAGCTCCTGGCATTGACCTGGTTCAACCCTGGCTGTTGCAGATATTTGAAAAGATGAGTAATCTCTGTCTTAATCTCTCTGCCTTTCAAATCAAAAGGTGTGTAGAAAATGAAATTAAAATATGTACATTTTCCATGAACTTTTTGAAGCCCCTGCTGTGAGTGTTGTTATTTGTGATTTATCCCACTAAATAAATTTTATACTAATTCGATCAGCTATTCATCCCAGTCTGCTCCCTGCCATTATTTTTTGGGGGGTTTAGGGAGTGGGGAAAGGAGGCAGAGAGACAGAGATAGCTCTAATTACTGGTCACTCCCCAAATTCCTGTAATCGCTGAGACTGGGCCAGGCTGGAGCTGGATGCTGGGAATTCAACCTGGGACTCCCATGTGGTAGCAGGGAGCACCTGGGTCATCACCGGCTATCTCCACTGGTCTGCAATAGCAGGAGCTGGACTCAAGTGAAGTCAAGACTTGAACCGAGGCATTCCAATATGAGATGTAGTATTCCAACTACTGCTTGTTTTTTTTTAAAGATTTTTTAAAATTTATTTGAAAGAGTTACAAAAAAGGGAGGGAGAGAGAGAGAGAGAGAGAGAGAGAGAGAGAGAATCTTCCATCTGCTGGTTCACTCCCCAAGTGGCTATAGTGGCCAGAGCTGGGCCCATCCAAAGCCAGGAGCCAAGAGCTTTTTCTGCGTCTTCCATGTAGGTACAACAACTCATACATTTGGGCCATCCTCCACTGCTTTCCCAGGCACATTAACAGGGAGCTGGATTGGAAGTAGAGCACCAAGAATTGAACTGGTACCCATATGGGATGCTGGCACTGCAGGCAGTGGCTTTACCCAGTATGCTACAACCAGTGTCTTAACCATTTTGCCAGTCACCCCTGTTATCATATTTTTTGTGCTATTAGCAATGGGATTTCCCATTTCATGACATTTCAATGCATTATTGTTGTTACTCCAGATATCTGTTGATTTTTGTATGCTTATCTCATCCTATCATTTTATTGAACTTTTCTTATCAATTCAGATATATTTTTAATGGAATCTCTTTGGTTTTGTAGATAAACAATTCATTTCCATTATGTTTCTAGCAGGTTTTACCATGTTACTTGATGCTTTAGGGTTTATCACCATTATATTTTTAATTTTGAAATACACCTCTGATCAAAATAAAATTACTCTCTGGAGCAGATGTTGTGGCCCAGTTGGTTAAGCTGCCACTTGAGATGTCCACCTCCCATATCAGAGTTTCTGGTTCAAGCCCTGGCTACTCCATGCTTCAGATCCAGTTTCCTGCTGATGCACTGGAAGACAACAGATGATGACACAAGTACTTGGGTTCCAGCCACCCACGTAGAAGACCTGCATGGAGTTCTTGGCTCCTGGTTTCATCCTGGCCCAGCCCTAGCTGTTGTAAGCATTTGGGGAGTGAGCCAGCAGATAGAAAAGCGTTCTCTCTCTACCCTCCCCCTTCACTCTGCCTTTCTAATCATTAAAAAAAATTACTCTCTTTGATGAATGGCTTTGCTTTGAATTTGACTATCTTTATTTGTACATAATATATCTTTGCTTTCTTTTTCTTTTTAAACTTTCCCTTTTTGTTTTAGCTGTGTGTAGAAACCCCTGTGTTAGTGCCTGACATGTACCCTCTTCCCACACTTGGTTACCACAAGAGCTGCTGTAGTATTCAATGGGACCCCATCTCCTGGCCACAGATGATGCCTTTGTAAGGACACCTGACCCATGGTTGGCCCATCACAGCACCCTAGCCACTGGCCAGAGTTGACAGGCTTGTGCTTGGATACGTGACCTAAATTGACCCCATAAGAGACTCTTTGTCTTGGAATACTCAGATACTCAGAGAGCAAGACCGTGGTTTCAGATCTAAAATGTACCAGGAAGTGACCAAGGCTATCTGTTTCAGTGTGGAGAAAACCACTGCCCAGCACATATAGCAAAATCTCAGCCATGACAAATGGGACAGCATTTAAACATTGTCCTGGTTCTGTGCTCCCACAGGGCAGCTACATCTCTGCACTCTGTACTTGTAGTTGCAAAATATACTTTGAGTTTTGTGAAATGCCTCAGACTTGGTCCAGCAGGTTGTCCCTTTTTTTTTGAACCAGCTGAGATTTACTCTTAAAAAAAAAAATGCATTTTATCTATTTGAAAGGCAGAATGACAGAGAGCGAGAGGGAGAGATCAGTCTTCCATCTGCTGGTTTACTCCCCAGATGACCACAACAGCCAGAGCTGGGCCAGGCTGAAGCCATGAGCCTGGGACTCCATCCAGGTCTTCCATATGGGTGTAGAGGCATAAGCACTTGGGCTGTCTTCTGCTGCTTTCCCAGGCACATTAACAGGGACCTGGATCAGAACTGGAGCAGCTGGATGCCGGTATTGCAGGTGGCGGCTTAACCTGCTGTGCCACAAAACCAGCCCCATAGATTTCCTCTTGAGACAGGAATGCAAGTGAGGTTGCTTTCCGATTCTTAGAGGTGATAATTAATTATGTTTTATATCACCTGGGTCAGATTAGTTCTGCAGGGAATTAAGAGGCAGAAGACCATGATGCATATGTTAAGGGTCCCTGGGTCCCATTCCTCCACCTCTTGTCTAGACAATGCAAACCACACTTCTGCCACTGCACCAAGGGCCTGAGTAGTCCCAGCCATAATGCTGAGTAGTCCCAAAGCACATATGCAAACAGAAGATCAGTTTCACGGCCTCTGGATAAAGCAAGAAGAACAGAAACCAAACTGGCAGCCTTTGAGAATCTTACGCTCCTCCTCCAAACCATGCCCTGCAGTGCTGTCGTCAGGCTGTCACCCTACATCTTCGCCAGCTGAAGACAGTTAAAGAAGAAACAGCGTCACTTTAAGAGACTGACTTTCCAAAATGAACATCTGTCCTGAGACCGCCCAGCACTGCCAGGGACCTGGTGGTCAAAGTCAGAGTTTCCAGGCACACGACACTGAGGGGCGCTGATCCCAGACGAAGACTGGACCAGTAGTCACCACATTTCCCGGATAGCTGTGCCACCCAGGGCGTCGATATCTGTACCTCTGCTTCCAGGATGTGGATTTGCTGTTGGGGGAGGTTTTCAGCCTCTTACTAGCAGCTTAGAAATCACATTACTCTGCGTGTGCCAGAGGCTGCTCGCTCCCTGACTGAGCCACTAAATCAGCCTAATTGAGGTAACAAATATGCCTGAGTAGTGCTTCCTTGAGAAAATGCAACCCTCAGAAGACATGACATTTACTTCTGACTTGTCCAGACGTATTGACAACAAGACGTTGCTGAGAGTGCTTTTGATTTATATTGACTCGAGGAAGTATGAATTGAATTTTCAGAGTCCAAACTGTGGCCTGACTCAAATACAAACAGAAACCCCAAATGGAGATTTGTGAGAAGAGCACACATCTAGCCCAAGTCAGTAACAGTTGAGGGCTTTTATCACTCAGCCGCAGCTTTCAGACCAATATGAAACGATTAGAGGTCCTGAGTACAGTTCATAATGGGCCAAGTGTCAGTGTCACAGATGCCTCCCAGAAATCATGACAGTTGTCTGGCTACTGTGTTGGCAGCCTGTGTGGGGCAGCTAAGAAGGATAATGTTACCAGCAGCACACATTCCTCTCTTCGCCCTAGATGTGGCGTTTTTGCAGACAGAAATGAAGTGAGAATGAATAACTTTCACTATTTATGCCAACTTGACAGATAACTAACTCCAGAACCTTCAGTGTGGCTCTTTCAGTCGTGATGCAACAAATATTAGTGGGGGTGGGGGGTGCGGGAGAGAACAGAATATGCCATTAATTGTAGGGTTGTAAGTTAATGGCCAGGAGAACGTCTTATACTATAATGCAGGCAAATCCACCAGGAGCACGTAATGGCGCAGAGAAGGCGCATTCCCCAGGACTGCCATGGAGCAGGCTGAGATGAACAGACTGATATTTTCATCAATGCCGAGGACCCTAAAATAAGCTCAGAAGATATTGAGATTTTATTTTAAATGAATTATTCATGGACCAAATCACAAATTAAAAATAGCATGATTGCACAATCCTTTTTCGCCAACATGCAAACTCTGCAAGAGTAACCATGGTTAAGTAGAGCACTCAGCTGCTGCTCAGAAAAATTGGACTTTTTCTCTGTGCAGCCGTACCACTCACTCATCAGCTTACTTTCACAGATTATCCCAAATCTCTGTGTCTCCATGAACCAGATTAGAGATACTTCCTCAAATAGTGGTGATAGTGGAGACCTAACCAACATAGAAAGTAACTTACGGGCCGGCGCCACGGCTCACTAGGCTAATCCTCCGCCTAGCGGCGCCGGCACACCGGGTTCTAGTCCCAGTCGGGGCGCCGGATTCTGTCCCGGTTGCCCCTCTTCCAGGCCAGCTCTCTGCTGTGGCCAGGGAGTGCAGTGGAGGATGGCCCAGGTGCTTGGGCCCTGCACCCCATGGGAGACCAGGAGAAGCACCTGGCTCCTGCCATCGGATCAGTGCAGTGCGCCGGCCGCAGCGGCCGTTGGAGGGTGAACCAGCGGCGAAGGAAGATCTTTCTCTCTGTCTCTCTCTCTCACTGTCCACTCTGCCTCTCAGAAAAAAAAAAAGTAACTTACAAACCACACAGTTCACTTCAGATTTTGATGCCCATGATATTTCGTGAGAGAACATAACTACTGTCTAGAAGCACAGCCTTGAATATCTGGAGCTTCCTTGACTAGCTAAAGCAGACTACTTACAGATGTTCCCAGATCCTCCTGCAGCACAGCTGCAAAACGCAGTGCAGCTGCATTAGCAGGAAAGACTCTCTAATTGGAGCCAAGAGACCAAGGCTTGGCTTCCAGCTCTACCCTAGTCGAGCCTGGCGATCACTGCTTCATCCGTCTGCAGCACAGCTGGATCCTGAGTGCCACTGAGGCACGAGGTGTGGCGCCACTGTGCTGTGGGTGAAGCTGAGCTACTGATTGTCTAGAGCCTTGCACTGTCTGTGTGGAGCTGGATCCCGCAGGCTGCTTGGCCACAGACAGACTTAATAGTATGCCCCATAATGCTGTAAAAATAATAGCAATTTCTGGGAGATCCATGACATCAAAAATACTGGGTTATCTAACACCAACATTTCTCAATCTGGGAACGTAAAGTCTGATGGAGATCAAAGTTTCAGAAAACATGGTGTGGGCATAGTGGCAGCTTGCCCCGCTTGGGTTTCCTGGCCTGGTCTCACTTCCCTCACAGCCAGCAGAGACGATTCCAAACACGTGCCCTCCTGAAATCCCACCAGTGACACCATGGGCTCAGGAAGTGTCTGTAAGATTTGTCTTCCTCTGGCATGCACCTGTTTCTCCAGGCCCGTCTCCTGTCACTGCGACACCAAAACCTGCTTTTACGCCTCTAAGGCTTTGTTCAAGCTGGATTGTCTTATCATGATGCACGTGCCTGGCCAATTCTAACCCCTCTTTCTTTTTTTATTTTTATTTTTATTTTTTTTTAATTTTTTGACAGGCAGAGTGGACAGTGAGAGAGAGAGAGACAGAGAGAAAGGTCTTCCTTTTGCCGTTGGTTCACCCTCCAATGGCTGCCGTGGCCGGTGTGCTGCAGCCGGTGTGCTGCGGCCGGCGCACTGCGCTGATCCGATGGCAGGAGCTAGGTACTTCTCCTGGTCTCCCATGGGGTGCAGGGCCCAAGCACTTGGGCCATCCTCCACTGCACTCCCTGGCCACAGCAGAGAGCTGGCCTGGAAGAGGGGCAACCGGGACAGAATCCGGCGCCCCGACCGGGACTAGAACCTAGGGTGCCGGCGCCACAAGGCGGAGGATTAGCCTAGTGAGCCCCGGCACCGGCCGACCCCTCTTTCATAGTTCAGCCCTTCCATGGGGATTTCCCCACCCCAAACCCTGTGCCCTGTGTTCCTACCCTCTGCCTCCTTTCTGTTAGCATCCACCTTGAGCACACTCCTGTGATTTCACTTGTTACTATACCATGATGTGTGGATCTGCCTCCCAACAAGGGCAGGACCACACCTTCGTTGTCTCGGTAACGCTGCAGGCTGGCACTGTGGGCACTGGGGTCATGTCTGTTGGGCAGATGGCTGAATGGATGGATGGATTCAGATTAATGTGATCTTGTTCACCATATCTCAGAATTCTGGCACAAGAGCTTCATGACCAAAAAGAAGTACAAATTTACATAATGGTCATGCATTTGACCCTGAGCATGACACAACCTATCCTTCAGTATTAATCTCTTATTTCTCCAAAAAGACTGTAAATGACCAACACACGTCCCAGTGAGGTTTGCTGGAGGTAGCAGGAGAGGGGCTCTCCTCTCATTCTGTATTCCAAGTGTCTGGTCTTTAAAACAAGTCTGGCTACCTACTGTTCCAGGGTCCTCTGGGGAGAGCACTGTAAGGAAGGGGCTTGTTGTCATTGTGTGGGAGGCTGAGACTTGTTGGCAAAGTTAAAGGATTGCCCTCCTGCTCATCACTGGGGTCTGCGTGTGATTGAG